GGCATGGATCATGGACGTGGGGGCGATGTCCATGACCAAGCCTATGCGGCGCTCAGCAACCCCATTCTGCTGTGGGGACTCTGGCAGCGTCCAGGACTGGGTGATGCCCTGTTCGCCGCAGAATCCGCCGAGAATGCCGAAGCGAAACTCGCCCCCACGGTCGGAGTGGAGACAACTGACTCGACGACCACGAGTGCCCTCAGTGGCTAGAAGCCACCTGATCAGCGTAGCAGTCACCTCGGACTTCTTCGCAAGAGGGAACACTGTGGTGTACCTGGAGAAGTCGTCGACGACCACCAGAAAGTAACGCTCCCTCCCAGACCCCTGCGTCGGGGCAGGGCCCCAGACGTCCAAGTGGAGAGTCTCGAAGGGAGCGGTGGCCGGACGAAGGGAGGAGGAGTGGGGAGTGGCGCGTAAGCGACCGACGACGCACGGAGAGCAAGGAGGGGCAGGCGAGAGAGGGAGCGACGGGAAGGTGCGTGGGAGACCTGAGACAAGTCCCTGACTGAGCATGCCACGTAGGCGAGGGAGCGACGGGTGGCCAAGGCGGTGGTGCCACAGGACGGTGCGGTGGGTGAGAGAGCGACAGGAGCAAGACGCAGCGACTGGACTGGACACAGCGACCGGACCGGACACTACTACCTGGCTAGACACAGCAACTGGACTGGGGACCTGGGCCGGAGGGGACGCAACGACCTGAGGGGAGGACGCGACCGGGGAGCGCTCGGTGTGGAGGACGTAGAGACCGGAGCGGGGCTCCCTGGTGAACGTGGCCAGAACAACACCTGTGGTAGCGTCTGTACAGACTGCAGTCCGCCCACCCCCCACGAAGGTAACCGTGATCCCCCTGTCTTGGAGGTATCCAACACCCACCAAGTTCCGAGTGAACGAGGGGATGTGGAGGCCGCGCAGGACACCAGAGGGGACCACAGGGCACGGGAGGGTGGTGGAGCTACGCGCAACGGCTGGTCCAGAGGTAGGATCAGCCAAAGCCACCGACACAGGTGTGAGGAGTGGCGTAAGGGTCGTGTGGTCGCGGAAGAAGCACTGAGACGCGCCCGAGTCCAGCGTGAACGACAGAGAGGCCTCAGCCGGGGGGTCACCAGACCCAGTCGCTACACAAGCACCTAGAGCAGCAACACAAGCACCTAAGCTAGACAGGCACAAGGCTACACTAGCAGGAGGCAAGCAGGCTAACCTACGAACACGCGAGCACACAGATCCATCAGCACTAAAGTCAGCATCAACATACAAAGCATGCTGACGCGCATCGTCCATGGACAGATCAAAGACATCAATCTTACGGGCTAACAGACGAGACCAGCGAGGCGTGACCGCCAGAGGGCCCCAACGAGCCCGGTAGAGGTCGTCGAGGCGGCGGAAGCACCGCGCGGCAGAGTGGTCGTCGCGACCACAGAGACAGGGGCTGCCCGGCCCGGTGACGCACCAGTGGGTGCAGGGGCCAGCGTCACGGCGAGGGGGGCGAGGGGCCCAGCTGGAAGAGCTGCTGCTGCGGCCGGTGCTCCCAGGGCCTCCCAGACCCCACTGCGGCGGGGGACCCCAGTGCTGCTGCGGACCCCACTGCAGCGGGGGCCCCCACTGCTGGAACTGCTGCGGTGCCTGCAGCTGCTGCTGTCCCAGCTGCTGCTGCTGTCCCTGCTGTGACTGGTGCTGCTGTGGCTGCTGCTGCTGGGGGGCAACGCCCCCACCGGTCGGGCCACCACCTGTGGGTGGGCCTGTCTGTCCTGCACCTCCTCCAAGGCCCCCTCCCCGCCGCCGCCGCCGCCGCCTCCGCCACCACCGCCGCTCCCACCTCCACCGCCACCTCCACCGCCCCCACCTCCCCCCTTCCCGCCCTTCTTGCCATTCTTGCCCCGTTTCTGCCAGTCTGCGGCAGAAACGGCAGCAGTGTCCTCAGAGATTGACACAGCAGCAGAAGCGCGGGTAGCGGTGAAAGTGGGAAGGGGCGGCACACCCCGCAAAGAGACGGGGGGCCACCGCATCAGTGGCGGAGGCAACGGTGAGGAGACTGCTCTCGATGGTCCCTAGAGCAGTCGCTAGGAGGTCGATAGTGAGCTCAGTGGGGTGCTTCTGAAATAGCGCGTCGCGGGCAGTGGCAAGGCGGTCAGGGAGGCGGGTGACTAACCAGTGAACAGTGAGCCACATGGGGGGGGGGAGCAACAAGAAGCTGTACGTCGGTACAGGCAGCGCGGAAACCGGCGTCAAGCGAGCGGAGGTGAGTCACTAGGTCGGAAACAGTCGCAAACGAGCCTAGGTCGGGAAACACAAATGGCATGAGGAGGCGACTGAGGGAGGCAGAGGAGGGGGTGGAGTAGCGAGCAACAATAGCCTCCCAAACCCCCTGTGCAGTCTCCACCTGGTCAAAGTGGGCGGCCTCAGTCGGGGGGAGAAGCTCCGACAGAGTGAGAGCGGCGGCTGCGTCACGCGAGAGCCACACGTCCCTGGCCAGGACCCGACGGTCGTAGTCCGCCTGGGCCGTAGGGGTCGGCTCCGGGGCGGTCGGCAGGGCGGCGGGGGACGGGGGGGCCTGTAGGGCACCAGACGCGTGAGCCCACAGAGTGGCGCCGTCCTGCCGCTGGCTGGTGAGGAAGCGCGTGGTCTGGCGCTGCCAGGTGCTAAACTCTATCGGGCGTCCCTCCGCGTCGAAACGGAGGCGACGAGACTCCATGACTGATGCCATGCTAGAGGCGGCTGGAGCTCGGCAGAGGCTGAGCTAAGAACGAGGAGGAAACCTACGGAGCGCCAGGAGGGAGAACGGCGGAGTGAGAGGCTGGGAGCACTGAGTGACCTAGGCTAGGCGTGAAACGGAGGATCTCCAGCTACAACGGCTAGGGGCGCGATACTAGCGGCTAAACGGCTCGAACCTAGGCGGGCGGCGAGAGAGAGCGGCTGCCAGCCGCTAGGTGATAGACCAGTGTCAGTAGAGCTGGGGAGGGCCCCGCGCACAAGGCGGTGGCGGGGCTAGGGCGCGTGCCAAGGGTGGGTAGCAGGAAGAGAGGGGCGGGGGGGGGAGTTTGCGACGGTGGAAATGGGCGGGGAGGGCGGTTTTGACGGTGGGAATGGGCGGGTAGGGCTGTTTTGATGGTGGGAATGGGCGGGAGGGCGGTTTTGACGGTGGGAATGGGCGGGAGGGCGGTTTTGACGGTGGGAATGGGCGGGGAGGGCGGTTTGACGGTGGGAATACGGGCTAGGTCGAAGGCTGGGGCGACGGGCTAGGGTGTACGGGCCGCGCGTGGGCAACGGGCAGGGCGCACGGGCGCCGCGACGGGCTGGGGCAGAGCCTACGGGCGTCGCGACGGGCTGGGGCAGAGCCTACGGGAGTCATGACGGGCTGGGGCAGAGCCTACGGGCGTCGCGACGGGCTGGGGCAGAGCCTACGGGCGTCGCGACGGGCTGGGGCAGAGCCTACGGGCGTCGCGACGGGCTGGGGCAGAGCCTACGGGCGTCGCGACGGGCTGGGGCAGAGCCTACGGGCGTCGCGCGGGCTAGGGGCAGGGCGCGGGCTAGGCGCGGAGGGTGGAGTGGCGCGGTTTAGGCGCGGAGGCACAATGGGTGCGGAGGTGCGAGCTAAGCGCGGAGGGCGCGGAGGGCGCGGAGGGCGCGAGCTAGGCGCGGAGGGCGCGGAGGGTGAACACTAGGCTAGGAACGGGCTAGGAACGGGCTAGAGTGGTTAGCAACGGAATGCTTGGAATAGAAACGAATGGGGTACAAATAAGCAACCCTAGAAACTGTACCCCCTAGAGTGCAACTCACTACAGCCTATCATATCAATGTTCAACATTTGACAGAAAAGGCTCCAATAGGTGTATTAGAATATAACCTACTCGAATATGCAATAACATTCAGGCTGTTTAATGTTTTTCCCTAACCTTTTGGGATTCATGCGTTTTATTAGTATTTGTCGACGCATACAGCCGAAATCACAGGCGCCAAACTTTTCTTTTCGCAAGAACCGAGCCGAAAAAGCTCTAGTAACATGAGCTACTTGAATATGCAATAACATTCCGGTTGCTGAATGATTTACCCTACGCCTATAGGCATTTAAGGGCTTTTTAAGCATTTGTCGGCAAAAATAGCCAAAATCATAGGCGCCGAACTTTTTTTTGCGCACCAACCAAGCCGGGATTGCTTTGATAGGTGTATTTGAACATGAGCCACCCGATTATGCAATAATAGGTATGCAGTTTTTCTATGCCTATGGGGGCTTATGCGCATTCTAAAATAAGCCACTCTAAGCATGAGCCACTCTAAGCATTCGTCGGCAAAAACAGGCGTAATCATATATGCCGAACTTTTCTTTGCGCAAGAATCAAGCCGAAATTGCTCTGATAGGTGTATTTGAACATGAGCTATTTGAATATGCATTAAACTATCGGAGTTGATTGCGAGCGATGCAAAAGCTAGGAGCTAAGATGAGAAAGGGAGGAGCGAAATGTGTTGGGAAAGGTGGAGGCAGAAGTTTAGGTGGGAGCGTTGCACGACCATCGTGAGCAGGAGCATCGTGACTGGAAGCATCGTGAGCAGGAGGAGCATCGTGAGCAAGAGCATTGCGTGAGCAGAAGCATCATGAGCCGGAGTTGAATGATGTGATTTGAATATCTGCCTTTTATTTATGCTCATTATACCAATAGAATTGTCAATTTAAAGGTTTCAAGCGCAAATGATTGTACGAATGGCAAAATATGTACTGCATTGTAAATTAATAACAAAATAAGGATGTTTTTTTTTTGTGGCCTTCCCAATAAGGTAGATTACTATGTCTGGTTTGGTGATTTATTCATACCGTACATTTCATAACCCTGGCTTTGCTCTTGCTTGACAGGGCTATCCCTGTTTGAGTTTCGCCATGCAACGAACAAACCCAAGCCATCTTGAATCACGTGCTGTTTCCAATTTCTTAAGAATATCTTTTGCTCCTCACTTGCACTCCAGCATCTCCCCAGCCCACCAGTGCTGCTTTCCACTCTCACAGCCAGTCACTATAGACGATGGCATAACCACACCACACCACAAAGCCACCCACGCTGCCTGCCGTATCGGCCGCCCTCCTCCCCCACCTCACCCGGCCCTGCCTGCCTCGCCTCCCCCTCATCACTACCCTGCGGCCCCTCAGCCTCCCTGACAGCGCGCCTGGCCTCGTCCAGCAAGCGCCGTGTCTCCAGCAGAGAGGCCATGGCACGGTTGTCCCTCCCCGCCACCGCCGCCAGCGCCTGCGCTGCCTGCTCCGCCTCCGCCATCAGCACCCTGGGGAGCGGGGAAGGGGCAAGGGAGGGGGGCCGGGGGAAGTGAAAACATGTGAGGAGGGGAGGGAGAGGGGGTGCAGTAGGGAAGATGCCAGCGCCTGCGCTGCCTGCTCCGCCTCCGCCATCAGTACCCTGGGGGACGGGGGACGCGGGTAAAGTGGGGGAAGGAGGGGAGAGTGAAGTGCAGTAACGGGGTGGAGGGGGACTGGGAGGAGCTGGCAGGTGGGAGAGGGGGATGAGGTGACAAGGGTGAGAAGAGAGGTGGGGAGTGAAAAGAGGTGAAGAGAGCTGAGCAGTAATGGGGACTGACGAGCGGTCCGGAACAATGAGCAGATGCATGCTGGGGCAAAATCACATGGCATTGTGATGAGCCCACTGTGCAGCGCCTCGCATGGCTTCTCCCTTTTCGTTTTCCCTTTCCCCTTCCGCACTCTCCCCTCTCCCTGCTCTCACCGTGCTCTCTCTGCCAGTTGCTTTCGCCTGCGTGCCACCATGTGCCGGGTCATGCTCTGCTGAGCATCCAATGCAGGCACAGACGCAGATGCAGAAGCAGAAGTACCCCTGTCGTCCCACACGCCTGTTTCGTCCGTCTCACCACTACCATCTCCCACTCCACTGCTCCTGCTGCTGCTGCTTCTGCCGTCCGTGCTGCTACTCCCATTGACCCCACCCAATACCCCATTCTCACCACCATCGCCACCGCCACCCCCATCATCGCTGGTCCCCCCTCCACCGTCCTTCTCCCCTTCCCTCAGCACCTCCTGCCACGGCATCTCCCTGTTTACACCTGCTCGCCCCTCTGCACCCCTCCATGTGCCCCTCTTCTTCAGCCCTTCCCCAAGCCCTTCCCCTAGTCCCATTCCCCCCCTTAGTAGCACACCGTCCCACGCACCGCCCACCCATGCCTGTTTCCTTCTCCCTTTTCCCCCCTGCCTCTCCGGTCTCTCGTTCCGCCCATCCTCCCCCTCCCATTCGCTCTCCCACTCTTCCACCTCCTCTCCTAGCTTCTCCCAAACCCCCCCAATGTCCCCCATGTCTTGAATAGCTGACCCATCAAACGATGCCTCTCCTCTTCTCTCTCTGCTCCTTATGCCATCACCCTCATCTCCCCTTCCCTCCCCACCAATCCCACGCTTCTCCGCCCCTCCTCTCTGCGACACAATCACAACCCGCTTAAACGGCGTCACCACTCCCCCCGACCCTCCCTCCCACCGCTCCCCCTCCTCGCCCTCCGCTCCTCTCCCTCCTCCCTCCACATCCCCCTCCTGCCCTTGCTCCTCACTACCTGCCTCCCCCTGTGAAGACCCACCGCGCTGCTCCTCTGAAGCCTCGGCAGCCATCACCAGCTCAACAAATGCCTCATCTGGGTTTGGAATCACCACCACCTCTGCCGCGGCCGCCGCCTTTGCTGCCTTTGCTGCGTCGCTCTTGCTTTGTCTTGCTGAACTAGCGTCACTGGAATCAGCAGCATCACCACTACCAGGAGCACCTTCAGGGGTGCCCTCTGGACTGGCATCGCCCAGCAAAGCAGAGCCTTCCCCTGCTGCCTGCTTGCCCCTCCTCCTGCTGCTGCTGCGTGGCCTTCCTCCCTCCCCGCCTGTGGCTCGTCGCCTCTCTGCCCTCTTGCTCTTGCTCTCGGATCCACTTGTGCTGTCGCCACTGCTCCTGCTGTTGGGCCTCGCCAGGCGAACAGCCGATGCCACTCGACTGCGATACTCCTGCATGCATGCACACACACCCATGACAAGCATGCACGCACACACGAATGGCCACACATGCACCCGCGCACCCACACACGCATGCATGCACGCAGAGCAGAGCAAAGCACGTAAAGGATGAGAGTAGCTCATACCACTCCTCTCCCCACCTATAGGAACCAACGACTATTGCCTGTACCTTCCCACCTATAGGAACCAACGACTATTGCCTGTACCTTCCCACCTATAGGAACCAACGACTATTGCCTGTACCTTCCCACCTATAGGAACCAACGACTATTGCCTGTACCTTCCCACCTTGCCCAACCAGAACTATAACATCCACCCCACCCTCCATGCCCACGCCCACGCCCATGCCCATGCTTCATCCTTACAGGGTCCGCCCATTTGGCCTTGATGGCTTCGCTGATTCGCTTCCTGTGCTCCTCACTGTGCTTTCCTCTAACCACCCTCTCAGGCTGCCTCCTCCTCCTCCTCCTCCTCTCCCCACCCTCACCATCCCCACCCAACTCACCCTGCCCTCCTAACCCCCCATCCCCTTCCCACCTCCCCTCCCCATCCCCGTCCCCCTCCCCATCCGTGTCCGCCTCTTGTCCGCCTCCCCTCCACCGCCTCCTCCTCCGCCCGTCTGCCCCCATGTCATCAGCATACAGCACGCGTCCGTTGCGGCACCGCACCAGGGCTCTCTCGCCCGCGCCGCCCGCCGCTGCAGCGCGCGCCAGCTCCGCATGCCACTCCTGGCGCAGCGCGGTTACCAGCGCCATGTGCTCGTGGCGCTGCTGCCAGTTGGCGCGCAGCTTTGCTGCTATCAGCGCGCGCGTCTCCACACTGGGCGCAGGCGCGCGGGGGCAGTGAGAGCACGGGGGAGAGGGGGGCCGGGGAAGGGGGGAATGGGGCGGTGGGGGCGGAGACGAGGGAGGAGATGGAGAGGTTGGGGAAAGAGGAGATGGGAGAAAGGTGTGTGAATGCAGTGGGATGGGGACGGGTGGGGGGCGGGAGGGAGGAGAGAAGAGGGTGGGGGAGGTGTGGAGGGGAAGAGGTGAGAGAGGAGGGTGCATGAGAGGCAGGCAGCGGTGGGTGTGGGGGAGCGATAGCTGCAGGCGATGCTTGCAAACTGTGAGCAACAAGGAGCTGCATTTGGAGGAGTAGTATCTCTGCCTATGCCTGCACCTCTTTCCCCCTGCCCCCACCCCCCCCTTACCCCACCTCCCCCTGCCCCCACCTCCCCCTGCCCCCACCTCCCCCTCCCCCACCTCCCCCTGTGCGCACCTCTGGCGGTGGCCGCGCTCCTTGAGGCGCGCGCGGATGCTGGGGTCGCTCATGGCCACCTTGGTGCGCTCCCTTATCCGCGCGCGCACCTCTGCCCGCCCCGTGGTTCGCCGCACGGAGAGAGAGTGGGGTAAGAGAGGGAGGGGGAAAGAGGGGGAAGAGAGTGGGGAGAGGGGGGGAAAGGACAGCAGTAGAGAGGGAGAAGTGAGGAAAGGCATAGTAACAAATGATGCCGGTGAACCACACACACATACACACACAGCTAGCCCACTTTGACCGCCAGCTTCCCCTCTCCCCCTCTCCCCTCCCCCCTCGTGTCGCTCACCATCGCTCCACCGCCTGCCCTTGTTCCACGGCACGCGCCCTCTGTTCGCCTCGCTGATTCTCTCCCGCCGAATCGCCTCCTTGCCCCCATCCCCATTCCCATCCCCATCCCTCTCCCCACCGTCCTCCCCCTCCTCCCCCTCCCACTCCCCCTCACTTTCCTCCTCTGAGCCCCCCTCTCCCTCCGCATCTTCCGCCTCCTCGTCTGCTCCCCACTCTGTCACACTCCCCTCGTGCTCCTCCGCCTGCTCCGCCTTCACCCGCGCACCCACACCCGCAACCTCCGTCCAGTTCCCACCATCTCCGCCATCTCCGCCACCTCCGCCAGACGTCAACACTTCCGCTCTTGCTGCTGTTGCTGTTGGTGCTTCGGCGGTCTCTGGGTATGCCTCCGGGGGATTTCCCCAAGGGTCAGGATTCCTCCCCTCAGTAGTGTCCCGCTCGCCATTTTCCCCGCTGCAGTCTGCTGCGTTTGCGCGGCCTCTGCACTCTCGCCTAACTCTTCCCCGCTGCCAGTTTATTCGAGCGCCGCGCGAAACGCGGAGACCTAGATGCGCGGCCGGCACGCCGACCGCAGCCAATGAAACTCCGTGTGGGGACACGTGAATGCCACGTCGGAATGCCGAGGCGCCGCCGCCGCCGCGGACGCGGAAGCAAATTCCACGAAGGCGGTCGGCGGAAAATTCAGGGATTCCGAAGTGTAGTCTAGAACGAGCAGCAGGAAGGGAGTGAGCGGGGAGTAAATACGAAGAGAGAGGCGAGGCCAGGGGGATGGAGAGAAAGCACTGAGAAGGATGATAGGGGTTAAAGGTAGGAACGAGAGCCGCCGCGGAAGAGCGCGAGTTAAATAGGAGAATGTGCGAGGACGCGAGCGATGGAGCAGCTGCCATTGAACGATGACGCACGTGAAACAAGTTGAGAGGTGTTGAGGGGAATCTCTTGAAATTCACAACTTTGAAAAGGCTGGTGGGCTGATCGGTCCGTGTCATCCGAATAAAACTGATGCGCTAGGTTCTGTCTGGTTGGAAGTGGTGGTCATGATGAGTATATTACAACCCTGGCTTATGAATAATTGGAATGGTTGATTTCAAGACCAAACGGTGAATCACTGGCCTCGTGCTAATTTATTTGGTATTCAGGAGTTTAATGGCCTTGATTTGAGGTTTCATATCCTGTGTTACAATCTGATGTGGTGATTTAAGGGTACCGAGGAACGTTTATGTGCTGGAGACTGTTAAGTTTTGATTGTCATGAAGTGCAGAAATATAGTCGCTCAAAATACTACCCCAAATAAGTTTGTAATTGCCATTGACATCCAAATATATTCCTCCATCTACGTCAAGGATGTTCAATATATATTCCTAGCTTTGCATGTGCTGTATATGAGGACTGCATCTTGGGTGAGACATTTTCGTATGTTTATCTGGGAGCTCCTATAACGAGCGATTACTGGTGACGGCTGTGAACGTTAGGGGAGCGGTGCGACGGTTTTCTACTATGCCCGAGAATTCGGTGGGAGGGAGACGGTCAGCATCGAAACCCTCCTTTCCAGTTTGTCGAAATATTTTGTGTGTCGGCCAAACGATCCGCCTCACTGGCCCGCCACACCAACGACCAAAAAACACAAGCTCAACGGCGCTGCGCGAATTTTTTCTTCACTCGCCCGCGCCCGCAAAACATGTCTCGTTGTCCAAACGCCACGACGGGTCGCGCGGAATGTGTCGCGTTGCTTGCCTTCCCTCCCTTCCTCCCTTCCGCCCCCTCGATGTTCGGCACTTGGGGAAATCGCGCCTCCCTATCCGTGGTCCTCCTTGATGTCCCTCTTGCACCTCCTCGTATCATCCACCTGATATAAACTACCAATCTGCCTCATCCATACAGTGCAGTGGCAAGCATTCACTCTCCATGACCATACCTACATCGCGATAGTAAGCCATTCTTAACGCTTGTAAGCCTGCCAGATTGTCGAACCCCGCGGCTAGAAGTCTAGCATAGCCCCTCCGCTTTCAGTTCACTTCCCTCTTGGCGCACCGTTTGCTCGTCAAGATGCACACCGTTTCCCATAGCAGCGGTCCCAAGGCGCCTGTAGTGTATGCCTTCTGCGTCACTCTCGTCGTAGGACTCCTGCTCCTCTCAGGCCCCTCCTCGCACCACCATGGCAAGCACAAACACGGCAACCGCCGACGTTTGGACGGCGGGCGCAGACGGCACGTGAAGGAACCGGGCGAAAAGGTTATTAAACTCCACCGCGCGACGACGGAGGTGAACCCGAAGCTGGACCACATCACGTTCGACCCGCTAATTGCGGAGATGGAGACGAAGCAAGACGACCACTCGTGGGAAGAGGCGTATTTCCGAGAGCACCACGAGGAGGTGCACGTGCACACGAAAGTCGAGCCCGTTTACACCGTCGGACACGGTACCGACGGGCACGGGGGGCAACAGGGGCACGAGCACGGGCCGGGGAGCGGGAACGAGAGCGCGAAGCACGGCGGGCACGAGCACGAATATGTGCACGGCGAGGAGGTGGAGGACGAGGAGTTGCAGCACCTGCACGACCACATGGACTCAGGTGTGCGGTTTGCGATGCCATGGACTCGAAATTCGCGCCGTTGAGAACGCCGGGAAAGCGAGTGAAAACGCCGTTGCCGGTGCACCACTGGTGGTAGAATGCGAACGAAATGCCACACGATTCTGTCTTGACGCGAATGTTTCCGATTCCAACCTGTTGAGATCTACCGCCTTCTCCCACACTCCACTTAATCCCCAGCACTGTGCTGAATTACTGCTCACTCTCCACCTCCTGCCGCCGCTTATTTCCCAACCCCCGTGGCTGTTTGATTAAATCGCAGCGCACGTGGAGAGCAAGGTGAACGTGTCGTCGCGCATCCGCACGCTCTTCCCGCTGATCGACACGGACGAGCGTGACGGGTACATCTCGCTCAACGAGCTCGCCATGTGGCAGGTGCAGCAGGCGCACCGCAGCAGCGCGCACCGCACGCGACGCGAGATGGAGATTACGGACGCGAACCACGACGGGCTCATCTCGCTCAAGGAGTATCTGCAGGACGACTCGGACGGCGACGAAGGTCAGTCGCCGATTATTGCGCTAGCGCCCACTCGCAAATTCTCGCCTCCTTTTCTCCTGCGCTTCTCGCCAGCTTGTCTTTACCTACATTGTCTCGGCGCGTTTTCGCCGCCGGCCTCTCCTCGGTGTTTGTTTCTTATCCGCGCTGGCCGCGCCGCCGTTCCCTCGCTGTATTGTCTTTACTCGGCCTCCCTAACAACTGTATCGTGCGTATGCATGTGCGTGTGCGTGGCGCAGTGTCGTCGGAGTGGGACGAAAGTCTGCAGAGCTTCGTGAACCTGAGCAAGCAGCGCTTCCCGATGGCGGACACGGACGGCGACGGGCTGTTGAACGAGGAGGAGTTCAACGCCTTCTTGCACCCCGAGGACAGCCACAACGACAACCTCACGCGCTCCGTGCGCGACGAGGAGTTCAGGTGCGCCTGCGCTTGCGGGTGCGCGAGTGTGCGAGCGGGAAAGTTATGTGTGGATTTGGGAATTCTCAGTGCCAAACGCTTTATGCATTTCGTACCTCGAGTTCCTGCCGAGGTCGTTTTTAACCTGGCCTGGGTCTTCTGGGGAAACGGCCTTTTCTCCTCGGTTCTGCGGTGGTTGCGCGCGCGCGCGTGCAGGGCGCACGACAAGGACTCGGACGGGCGGCTGAGCCTCGAGGAGTTTTTCGAGAGCGCGTGGGAGGACGTGAAGGCGTTCGACGACGAGTACGAGAAGTGGGAGGAGCACCGCTTCGCCCCGCACCCCGACACGCTCAAGATGCCCGGCCACGGCCACGAGCAGCACGCGCACGAGGAGCAGCACGCGCACGAGCATCACGAGCCCGGGCACCATGGGCACCACGAGCACCACGAGCATCAGGAGCACCATGCGGGGCACCACGGGCACGAGCACGGGCACGTGGAGGAGGAGAAGCCGCTGGAGGTGCGGCGGGAGGAGGCAAGGAGGCGGTTCCAGGACTCGGACTTCAACGACGACGGGTGAGTGCCGCTGCTGCTGCTGCTGCTGCTGCTGCTGCTGCTGCTGCTGCTGCTGCTGCTGCTGCTGCTGCTGCTGCTGCTGCTGCTGCTGGGCAAGGACCCCGACTCGTGCAATGATGGCCTCGCTCGGTCCCCCACTCGAATTCAGCCGGGAAGTGAGCGTGGCCAGTACTAGTATCAACGTGGGGGCTTGGTGGGTGGTCAAAGCTGGAAAGTCGGCTCATATTTCCAAGCCTTCGCTTCTCCCCCCCCCCCCTGGTTTGCAGGTTTCTGGACGTGAGCGAGTTCGCTGACAACCTGCTGTACGCTCTGGCGCCCAACGAATACCACTTCGCCGAGGAACAGGCCAAACACATGCTCACCCAGGTCAGCCCGCTGCTGCTGCTGCTGCTGCTGCCACTGCTCTTTGCTGCTGTTCTTTCCCTCTCTTGCTTGTTCGCTCGCTCTCCCCCTCTCTCACTCTTACTCTCTCCCTGCTTGTTTACCCTACGTGGTCTCCGTGGCGTGCGTGTGTGTGTGTGTGCGTGTGCGTGCAGGCGGACGACAACAAGGACAAGCACCTGTCACTGGACGAGATGCTGCGCAACTGGTCCGCCTTCTACGATGTGGTGGAGCAGCATTCAGAGCCAGACACACCACACACCCATGAGCATGAAGAAGAAGATGATGATGATGATGACCACCAGCACCATGGGTACCACCACTATGGCCATGATGGGGAGGAGGACGATGACGACTGGGATGAGGACGACAATGGGGAGTACAACTATGACGATGATGAGGAGGGGCATGAGGAGTTTAGATAGAAGTCCTCCTCTTATCCCTCCGCCCGCACACATACAAGCCATGTTCCTCCTGCACCTCCTCGTAGGTTGGTTGCCATTGAGAGGGGAACTGGCGCGCCCAATAAGGAGCTCCTGCCAGTGGTACATAGACTTGCCACCCCTCCACACTAGAACCAGTCATTGACATTCCACGGCTCCACGGGCATATAGATGCAGCTGCACTCTGGTGCACTCGCTTCTTAGGATACTTAGGTAGGTAATCAATGTCCAACATGGTTATAAATTCATCATTAACATAGAAAATGCAATATCACTAATACCTGAAAAGCCAAGACATTTTCGCACAGTGGCAGTTGTATGAAGGTGCTCACATCATGTGAATACCAGTACCTGGGAAGCCAAGATGAAAGTATTTGACAATCACATAACAGCAAACGATTGAAAGGTGTAACGATGCAAACTTTTGCATCTGGACAGGTCGTGTATTTGCAACTCAATCTCCACCTTTTCCTCTGCTGGTGGCGGGATGCATAGGACTGACGTGGAACCAAACGGAAGTTGATACAGGAGGAGGCATGCAGGGAGGAGAAAATATCATTGCGAGAGAACTCCTTGCTGCCCTCCATGCTGCGACGCATTTGCGGCCTCCTATTCGTTGCGACTGGAATGACGTCGACTTGATTCGGGCATGCAGCAAATAGCTGGGGCCCTTTGCGCGCGTAACAGCCAGCACATGTGTGATTCGCCACAAGGCTCCTGACACGAATCAGGTCCTGGGGCCACTGATAGCTGTTTCAGCGCTTCTCTTTCTAAAACCCCAAACCTGGGACGTTCTGATCTGATCCAACGTTCCCCACAAGATCGCTCTCCAAGCCAGCCATCTCAACCTTTCCCCCTCTGCCATCCCAATCCACCCTCTCCCATACTCCCCCCCCCCCTTTCACACTTGCATTGCCATCTCACACTTCTCACACAAGTTCCCAATTTTGCCTCTCAAACCTTAGTTCTTCGGAGACGATTCTTGTGTCAGAACACATTTTTCACTTCTAGTCCCTTACACAGCCGTTTCAGCGTCCTTACATCTCTCCTGTCCTGTTTACGCTCCGTCAATACGATCTGCGCTTGCCTCTTGACTTACGTTGCATGGCGTTTTCCTCGACGTCCCAGGTCGGTGCGCCTGTTCGAGGGACCGCCGCAGCCAGCAGCGGTTTCCTAGTCGCCAGAAACTCCGGTGGCGGTGGGAAGAAATCGTGCCGCTTACCATCATGGGTTAGCCGAATCTCCTCGTCTTTTGCCGGAGCGCGCCTCGTATCCTCGTCAAACCTCCACCCGCTATTATCACATTCGCCCGTCAAGAGAGGCGGATGGCAGAAGAAGGGACGCGCGTCGAGTCACCGCCACCGATCGGTAGCGGAGGTTGCGGGGACAGAGGGCGGGATAATGGAGCGATCCATCGCTCGTACTCCATCGAACGGTGCTGTTCGTTCCTCGTCGTCCGCACGGATTCCCGAGTACGATCTCTCTCTTGTGTCCGGGCCGCTCTCAGACCAGCCGCAAGAACTGGCGGCGGTGGGGTCGTTAGCCACCCGGACCCAGTCACAACAAGGTGGAGGGCGCACGGGCAAGGCCGCCAACGGTGCGGTTCGAGCCGACGTTTCCAGCGAGGACAAGATTTCCAGCGTGAGGGAGAGCACACTAACGCTCGCAGCGGAGGAGGAAGGGGCGGCGGGCGAGGAGATTTTGCGGGAGGTGAACGAGGGCGACGTGCAGCAGGTGCTAGCGTCGCTGGAAGACCGTTTCCTCGCTGAGCCGGGCGCCTCGCTCGACACTATCGAGGCCAACGCGCGGGTTTTGTTTGCGGTAGGCGCGCGCAGGGGGCAGGTGTTGCGCATCTTCCGCGCGCAGCCGGAGCTCGCGGGGAGGGAGTACGGCTCCGCCGTGCGGGATAAGGCGGAGCTGCTCTCCGCGTTCCGCATCGCGCCCGCCGCATTTCTCAAAGCGCTCTCGCGATCGCTTGACTGGCTCACGACGCCCGCGGCGCACGCTGCGAGTGTTCTGACTTTTCTCGACAGGGACTTGGGGATTAACAATCTCGCTAGAGTCGTAGCTGTCTGTCCCGACGTCCTTTCTCAACCCATAGACGGCTTAGCCGATACAGTCACATTTCTCCGCACGGACCTCTCTCTTGGAGCGGAAGTTGGCGCAGCGCTTGAGCGCAACCCCGCGCTGCTGGGGGCGGGGAACGGCGGAGGGCGCGCGGATGTGGTGCGCAAGCTGGAGGCGTTGCGCTCGTTGCTCCGCCTTGACCGCTCCGCGGACGTGCTTCCCCTAGTGCAGCGCTCCCCGCCGCTTCTCTCCGCCAGTGCTGACGTGGCACGCGACACATATAAACAGCTCTCCGCGGTTCTCGGCGAGGAAGGCGCTGCGGCAGTCGCTCTTGCCCGGCCGCAGATTCTCGCGCTGTCCGAAACCTCAGTGCGGGAAACTCTGACGCAGATCGCGCGGAGGTTCGGCGGCGCCGGACCTGCAGCCTCAGTGCTTGTTTCGGCGAACCCGTCTTTGCTTCGGCGGCGGTGGGACCGGACGGCGGGGAAGCTGGAATACGTGACGGAGGTTATGGGACGCGATCTAGCGGAGGTTGCGGCGTGGCCTGCGGTGCTGTCGTGCAATCTGCAGACGAGAATCAAGAGGCGGTATGACGCGCTGCGGGCGGCGGGGCTGGACGCGAAGGAGCCGCTTCGGGTGCTGTTCGGGTGTAGCGATAGCGTGTTCGAGAGGCGCTTCGACGTTACGCTGCCGAAACCCACCAAGGGAAAGAGGTGAGAATTGGAAAATATTCTAATAACGATGACGATAGAAATGAAGCACTTATGAGCTAGGCACAGGGAGTAAGATTCTAAAGGGTGCCCATGTGGTCGCGCTAAGCTGAAAGAGACGAAGGGAGATAAGACGAGATAGAGGGGAGATAAGGGGAGTTAAGGGGAGATAAGGGGAGATAAGGGGAGACAAGGGGAAATAAGTGCGAGCGCCGGTGGGCGAGGATTGGTGATAAGGATAGTGGGTGATTGGATGTGGGCGGTGTGTTGCGTGATGCGCGGGGAAGTGTGGGTCCGGAGGTATGTGAAGAGAAGAGATGCGAAGGTGTATATGCGCACAGCAACTGGGCGCTCTGCACCGTGCGGCATGTCGTGGTCGATATCTTTCCAATCTGCCTCTCCCCTCCCCACCGTCCCGCCGTCCTCCTAAACCCCCACCCCCCTTTCTCGTCGTGTTCCGTTCCTAACAAAGGTTTTCTGCCTTGCTGCGTATGCCAGCACCACCATGCCATTCTGTTTCTGGCTTACCTCTCATCCCTCTCCCTACCTGACCGCCTCTCGTCCTAGTTCACTAATCATTCCCCTCCCCTCTCTCTGCTTGCTTCTGTCCATGTGCCTCTTGTGCGTGCTGTGCTGTGGTGTACATGTTGGACCGTGGTATGTTGCAGGGGGAGGAAGCCTAAGACATGAGCAAGGGGCACTGTGCACACGATCTGTCTAGGTTAACACCACACGGAGCCGTAGCCGTGTTGTTTCAGCTGGGGTGCTAAGATGGTCCACAACCCATGAGTCCTCTCGTCCTAGGAACACATCTTTCCATGTGCTCCTTAAGTACGATAGGCCCATCTCCTGACATACATACAATCGGAGTGGGTCAATCAAGAACCTTATGGGTGGCTAAATGGCTGCTGCCATGTGCATTTTCCTGCTCTCCTGTATGATGTGCTCCCTGTTGGATGTTTAAACCCATGGTGCAGCATTCTTTGGTTTGCAGGAGTCCTTGGGTCTAGAGCAACTGGGCTGGTATGGGGTTGGTCAGTGGAGATAGGGATGGATATGCGTAGAGAGCAGGCATATCTTTTGATGGCTTGCCAGCATGCAGCTGGCATTTGCTGGTGTGATAGGTCTGCTGTGCATGCTGCTGGTTGACTTTTTGCCCTGTAGTCTGACATGCAGTTCAGGGTAAGTGCTGTTGACATTGATTCTTAAAATAGGCTAGGAGACAAGTGTCGAGAGTGATGATTGAGTAAGGAGAGACAAGGAGATACAAATGTCGACCTAAAGTGTTGTACCCTTTAGAGGGCAACTCACTGTAGCCTATCTAACAATATATAGAATATATAAACATTTGACACACCCCCATAGGCTAAGTGAGGGGCATCAAAACAACCAACGGAAACAAAGGGTCACAAGACCAGTCAAGAACAAGCATAAAAAACAAAGCTCAGGGTGGCGCTCAGAGTCACCACACACTCCGCGCACAAGCAAGTGGCCACAAGGCCAGTTCAAGAGTTTACTAGTATATATATAGAAGCAAAACAAGTAGAGCAAACAGCAAGTCTACAGCAACCGAGAGCCTACCTCAACAAGCCCCAACTGCACACAGAACCTGTGGTGGTCACCAGGCGCCAAGGCCTTGGTGAAGACGTCGGCAGTGTTGGCCTGTGAGGCCACAAAGTCCAAGCGTGCCTGGCCGCGTCGCTGCAACTCTCGTAGGAGGAAGTACCTCACGTCAATATGCTTCACTCTGCTCTCCAGTCGAGGCTCTCGACACAGGAGGATCATGGCCTTGTTGTCAGCGTACAAGGTCGGTGCAGAGCGAGGCCGCTCACCAAGGTCGGCGAGCAAGAAGGTCAACCAGCGAAGCTCCTGTGCCGCCATGGCACCAGCGTAGATCTCTGCCTCTGCACTGGAAGTAGCCACAGACGACGACCGTGTAGACCTCCACGACACAGCACCAGCTCCCAGACTGAAGCAGTAACCCTGAGTCGAACGCTGAGTCTCCACGTCGTCAGCGTAGGAAGAGTCGCAGTGACCAGTCAACGCCACTGGCTGAGTCCCTCCAAGCACAAGCCCCATGCCTGATGTAGTCGCCAGGTACTTTGCCACCCTCACAGCAGCTGTCCAGTGGACAGGGCGGTGTCTCCCAGTCGCAACAAAGCGAGAAAGGATGCTGAGGGGAAAGGCGAGGTCCGGTCGAGTACAAGTCATCAGGTACATGAGGCAGCCCACCAGCTCTGCGTAGGGTCCACTGGACTCAAAGGGCTCGTCAGGAAAGGGGCTCGTGAGTCTGTGGTCAACAGCAAGAGGAGTGGGCTGTGTGGTGGAGAACTGGAAGTCGAACCGCCGAAGGACCTGCTGCACCATGTGTGACTGCGTCAGTGTGATGGTGCGAGCGGCTCTGTCCCGGGTGATCTGCAGGCCAAGGTAGCGCTGCAGCTCACCCAGGTCAGTGCACTTGTGTCTCTTCTGCAGTTCGGACTTCACCTGAGCCAGGGCTGCCCTTTCTGCTGTAGCAAACACCAAGTCGTCGACGTAGACAAGGATAAAGAAAGGAGTAGAACCCGCTCGAACAAACAGCGACGGGTCGGCGGAGGAAGGGCTGAACCCAAGGTCACGAAGCGTGGAGCGAAGAGTGTCGTGCCACTCACGGGGCGACTGGCGGAGACCGTAGACTGGTCGCCTCAGGCTCCACTGGGTCCCAGGTGGGAAGGTGTCAGTGAAGCCAGGAGGACGGCGCAGCCAGATCTCCTCGTGCAGTCGGCCCTGGAGGAACGCAGTGGAGAAGTCGAGGGAGTGCAGCTCGTAGTCTCGCTGCGCTGCTATGTGGAGTAACACCCGAAGAGTAGTCATCTTCGGGGTCGGGGCGAAGGTCTGGAAGAAGTCAACTCCATCACGCTGACTGAAGCCCCTAGCCACGTAGCGCGCCTTGAACACCGGCGGTGCTCCAGGCGGCCGCTTCACCTTGAAGAGCCACATGCCATCGACTACGTTCGCCCTGGGAGGGGGAACTGCGTCGACGTAGGTGCCTGTGGATCTCCAAGACGCCAACTCTGAGTCCATAGTCGCTTTCCACTGAGAGGCCCACGCCCCTGACACTGCCTCGCGGTAAGTGCGAGGAGTCGGTATGTCAAGGGCGTCGGGGTCTCCCTCAGGGGAGAGCAGCATGGCACACACAGAGGGAGAAGCGGCTGCCCAGTACTCCAGCTCAGACTCTCTGTCCTCTAGGACGTCACAGCCAAGGGCAAACCCACCCCCGACGGACAGAGGACGGTAGGGAGGAGCTGGCACCACACGGGTGGTGTAGTCAAGGCGGCTGGCGGCAGCAAACTCAGCGACAGCGGCAGTAAGAGCCGAGGCAGACGACGGAGGGAAACGAGAGTCGGTGACAAGAGTGGCGAGGACACGTGCGGCAACAGGACGAACAACGCGGTAGTAGTCAGAGATAGGAGTGGCGAGGGCTGGTAGGGAGGACGGAGGAGGAGACGGGAGAACGGACACAGGAGAAGGAGAACGACGACGAGACGAACAAAGGAGGGCAGTGTGGAGGTCAGTAACAGGGGACGAGTGACGAGCACGCGGAGGACAACGAGTGATCAGGTCGCGACGGACAGAGGGAGGAGGAGAAGACCAGACCGCCGGACGGTCGTCAGGAGGAGGCAACGGAGGAACAAACACAGGAGGAGACTGGGAGCGGACAGGAGGAGAGGAGGAAAGGCCAAGGGCCCGTAGGCCACTCACAGGTGGGAACAACCGCCGCTCCAGGGGAAGCTGCGGTGGCGGCTGCGGCCGCTGCTGCTGCGGCTGCGGCTGCTGCTGCTGCGGCTGCGGCGGCGGCTGCGGCTGCTGCTGCTGCTGCTGCTGCTGCTGCTGCTGCTGCTGCTGCTGCTGCTGCTGCTGCCGCTGCTGCTCCAGAAGGTCCAGCACCCGCAGCTCCTGCCGCTCCCTCTCCAACCGCTCCTGCTCCTCACGCTCACGCCGACGGGCAACCTGGAGACGCATGTCGTGGCGGTGGGGAGGCGGAGTGGACTCCGCAGAACCAGGGTCTCCAGCGTCAGACCCCTCAGACTCAGCACCCCCAGAACCAGCACCGCCAGTGCCAGGACCTCCAACTCCAGCACCCCCAGAACTAGCACCGCCAGTGCCAGCACCCCCAACTCCAGCACCCCCAGAACCAGCACCTCCAGTGCCGGCACCTCCTGCTCCAGCACCCCCAGAGCTAGCGCCACCTGCGCCAGCACCTCCAGCTCCAGCACCCCCAGAGCTAGCGTCACCTGCGCCAGCACCTCCAGCTCCAGTACCCCGCGACCGAGCACCCCCAGACCGAGCACCGCCAGCGGTTGCACCTCCAGCTCCAACACCAACCGAGTCCACAGTAACCTGTCGCGGAAGTGCCGAAGGCTGCTGAGGGGACTGTGAGGAGGACTGCGGGGAGGGAGACGCTACCTGACGCGCGACCGAGGGTAGAGGGGTAGCGTGGGACACACCAGACGGGGCAGGACCAGGGGGGGGCGGGGGTACCGGAGGAGCGGGAGCAGGAGGAGGAGAGGGTGCGAGGAAGAGAGGGGGAGGGGGTACCGGGAGACCTCGACAGGGGTACCGGGTGTAGTAGGACACGGACTCGTCAAACCGGACGTCACGGGAGTCTAGGAACTGGTGGAGGGGAGGGTGGTAAAAGGACCAGTCAGCAGAGTCCACTGGGAAACCAAGGAAGACACAGGGGACGGCGCGTGCCGAGAGCTTGTCCGCGGAGGTGTCGCGAACAAGTGCAAGGCAGCCCCAGACTCGAAAGGCCCAACACCAGGGGATCCAGTCCAAAGACTAGTCGGTGAAGCCTCGGGCCGCGAGACACGCGGCTGGAGGTTCAGCTGGTGTGCGGCGTAGCGAACCGCGTGGGGCCACAGAAAATGGGGCGCACGGGCATGAATCATGGACGTGCGGGCGATGTCCATGACCAAGCCTATGCGGCGCTCAGCAACCCCATTCTGCTGTGGGGACTCTGGCAGCGTCCAGGACTGGGTGATGCCCTGTTCGCCGCAGAATCCGCCGAGAATGCCGGAGCGAAACTCGCCCCCACGGTCGGAGTGAAGACAACTGACTCGACGACCACGAGTGCCCTCAGTGGCTAGAAGCCACCTGATCAGCGTAGCAGTCACCTCGGACTTCTTCGCAAGAGGGAACACTGTGGTGTACCTGGAGAAGTCGTCGACGACCACCAGAAAGTAACGCTCCCTCCCAGACCCCTGCGTCGGGGCAGGGCCCCAGACGTCCAAGTGGAGAGTCTCGAAGGGAGCGGTGGCCGGACGAAGGGAGGAGGAGTGGGGAGTGGCGCGTAAGCGACCGGCGACGCACGGAGAGCAAGGAGGGGCAAGCGAGAGAGGGAGCGACGGGAAGGTGCGTGGGAGACCTGTGACTAGTCCCTGACTGAGCATGCCACGAAGGCGAGGGATCGACGGGTGGCCAAGACGGTGGTGCCACAGGACGGTGCGGTGGGCGAGAGAGCGACAGGAGCAAGACGCAGCGACTGGACTGGACACAGCGACCGGACTGGACACGACTACCTGGCTAGACACAGCAACTGGACTGGGGACCTGGGTCGGAGGGGACGCAACAACCTGAGGGGAGGACGCGACCGGGGAGCGCTCGGTGTGGAGAACGTAGAGACCGGAGCGGGGCTCCCTGGTGAACGTGGCCAGAACAGCACCTGTGGTAGCGTGCGCAAGGGGCGCGGTGGCAAGGGAGTCCAGGAGCAGAGGGATGTGCGCAGGGAGGCGGTTGACAGGAGGGGCGGCAGTGGCGGCAGTGGCAATGGCAGGGCGGATGTGAGTCGCGGGGACAGCAGCGGGCGAGGGGACGGGCGGGCGAGGCGGGGCGATGGGCGTGGGGGTGGCAGTGGTGGTGATGGGCGGGGCAGTGGTGGGGAGAGTAAGGGCGCACTTGTAGATGGCAGGGGGGGAGTGAGGGCTGGGGGGAGTGCGGGGCAGAGGGGGCATGCGGGGAGTGGGGGTGGGGCAAGGCACAGCGAGGATGGGCGAGCAGCGGCGCGTATGGTGATGCCTCGCAGCGCCACTGTGGCTGCCGTGGTCTCCACTGCTGCCACTGCCGGGGGGGGCGGGGGAGCAGCAGCGCGTGCCAGTGCGGGCGGGGGTGGCAGGGGGTACGGCGGGTCAAGTGGTGGCAGGGCGGCAGTAGGGCAGGTGGAGCGCAGCAGCAGGCAGGGCGAGGAGAGGGCGCAGGGGTATGCAGGGGTACAGGCGCGGGGAGGGACGCAGGTGAAAGGGGGGGGAAGAGGGGCTGGGGCAGCGGAGGGTGTGAGGCATGGGAGCTACGGGCCCAGGCAGAGGCCCGCACCGACCAGGGAGGGCGCTGCTGCTGGCCGCGTGTGACTCAGGCGGGTGAGTGTGTGCACATGGAATGAAGTGGCACCGCCACCACCACACTGCCCCACGTGCTGCCCTCTTGTGCCCCACCATGTTTGAGTCGTGCGCTCGCTCCCCCTCCTCCTTGTGCACACCGGCCCCAAGCTTTCGTGGCATGGGTGGTGCATGCGTGGCATGGTGAGCCAGGCAGAGCTGCTCCCTGCAGCCTCGCAGCACTGCATGGTGGGCAGCAGGGCGGGCCCCTCGTGTGCACGCATGTCTTGCATAGCACGCAGCAGTGCGTGCACACGTCTGACCGCTGCCCACCGTGTGTGCACTTGCTTCCTCCCACCGTCTCATCCCTCGCAGCCCAACCTCTGTGGCCCTCCTGCTCCTTGCGCACATGCCCCGCCACATCCAAACTTGCAGGCTGTGCCCACGTGCCTTGTTACCAGCCGTGGATGCTTCTTGTGTGAGGCAGTCAACCGCTCTACCTACGGCATTTCACCGTCTTGCTCACGTACAACCCCTTTGGCTGTCACCTTGTTGAATGGGAACAGGCCTCAATGCATACGCTAATGTTGCGCACTCACACTAGGTTAATTGCAGCTCCTGTAGGGTCAGTGTGGGCTTTGTTGGTGTATCAAGAGCGCACCTGTCTGATTCTCTGTAGGATGCAGTCACTCAACTTGAAAGTTGAGCCAAATGTTGCCATGTGAGGAGGAGCCTTTCGCAGGCTTGCACTGGTACGGTACTACTGTGTCCACTCTCCAGGCCTTCATAACAGCCATCCTGGTTCCGCCAGTACTACCTGGATATGGAGCGCCTCAAAACAATGCACCCATGGAAGCAGGCTCGGAGTTTGCTTGGCGGCTAATCGATCTGAATCAGGGCGTGTTCCTACGGCCTCGTATCAGGAAACCTCGTATCAAGAATGTACTTTTTGCCTGGTAAAACTAGCGAGAGATTTTGGGTTTAGGGGAAATTTCAGTGTGAGCCTGATACGAGGTTCTCTTGATACGAGGTGTAGGAACACGCTCTCAGCCTTCTTCAGAATAAATGAGGTACTTATTTTGCCTGTTTAGGCTGGATTGTATGCTTCTTTAAGTGTTTCGTTTAAGATTCTAGTGTATCAGCCTTGTTGCGAAGTCAACGAGTGCACACTAACATGGAAACGCAAACCCCGCCCCGTCAATCACGCTGTAATTTGGCACTTGGCAGCGCGGGGGTGCCGCACTGTGTAGCCTAGCCAACAACACGCTTGGCTTGGAGTTTTGCAAGGGCGACCACACGTGCGCAATCCCGCTCTGAATTGGGTTGGACAGCTGAAAGGGAACATCTCAACTCAAAAGCCTCCGTGTTTTCGGAATCTTCTGCCAGCCGCATGTATCCCATTTCTGTTCTTGTACTGTATTGCATATGATACTCTAGGGAATACTTCAATCAGAAATATACATTCTCTTCTTTCGTAGAGACGCTATATGTGTATCAATGGGACCAAAATAACCTCTGAATGCGCATCAATAGCTGCTTATCCGCAGGAAACAGATACAACTCGGAGTTCTATGGGAGTGCGACAGTGAGATGGGAAACGGGATATGACAAAGTATCAATAACATTTATGTTGGTAGGGATTTGTTGAGATAAGAACTTGGGAGATTAGGAGCTTGGAGGGAGAGTAGCATAGCGAGATGGTTATCGAGGGAGTTTAGGTTGGCCAAAAGAGCAGTTTCACTATGGAATAAATACAAGATATAGGAATGGGCAAAAGGGAGGGTACACCACCAGCAGTTGATGCTAATACCTAAACTAGTACACTAGCTAGCTATAGGCAGTTATAAGATATGCAATATAATTCAACACACCCCCGTAACTGCCTACGGCTATAGCTAGTGGTGCCTGGCACCAGATCGCCTGGAGAGCGGTTGCTGTAGCTGGGATAGGCACAGAAACAGCGGTGGCTGACCGGCAGCACCTGTGAACGCCAGGACGGAGGAGGGCGCGGAGAGCGCGGAGGAGGGCTGGGATAGCCGGAGGGCGAAGGATGCTGGTCGCTCGCCATCTACGAGCAAACACAACTGTTGGTGAGGAGGAGGAAGCTGCTGGTGGTGCACAGGAGGAGAGCAAAGGAGAGGCGGCTGGAGGAGAGGAGATAGGAGGAGGAGATGCGGCTGGAGGAGAAGAGAGGAGGAGGAGATGCGGCTGGAGGAGAGGAGAGGAGGAGGAGATGCGGCTGGAGGAGAGGAGATAGGAGGAGGAGATGCGGCTGGAGGAGAGGAGAGGAGGAGGAGATGCGGCTGGAGGAGAGGAGAGGAGGAGGAGATGCGGCTGGAGGAGAGGAGAGGAGGAGGAGAGGAAGTGCAGCGGAAGGAGGAGGAGAAGGGGGAGGCGGCTGCCTTCACATACCCGCCACCCCCACACCCTCTTCCCCCCCCCCCCAAACGCGGCACGAACTGCAGATGCACGGGCAGCGATGAGGAGGAGGATTAGGGAGGGGCAGGAGGGTTCAAGGGGGCTTAAGCACCCCCGTAGCCGCGGGCGCGAGCCTCGCCACCTCCCCCCCGCAACGTCCACCGTAGAAGAGAGCGACGGCAGGTGCGGAGGCGGGGAGCGGGGTGGCGATGGCAGGGGCGCTGGCGGCCGCTGCTGGCGCTGGCGCTCGCGACCGGCGCTGGCGCATGCCGCTGGCGCTGGCGCTGACGCTGGCGCTGGCGCTGGCGCTGGGGACCGGCGCTGGCGCTCGCGACAGTCGCTGGCGCTGGCGCACGTCGCTGGCGCTCGCGCTGGCGTCAGCGACGGTCAGAGGCGCTGGTGCTGGCGTCCGCGACCAGCGACGGGGCGACGCGACAGCGCGCGGGACGGGGCGACCAGCGCGTGGGGCGGGTAGCACGGGGCGTTCAGCGCGGGGCAGGCAACGGGCGAGCGCCTCGAAGGGCGCAGCAACGGTCGCCATGGCAACGATGGCAGCCATGGCGAATGAAAAATAACAAGGTCCTTAGAAGGACCCAGCTCTTAATACCATGTTAAAATAGGCTAGGAGACAAGTGTCGAGAGTGATGATTGAGTAAGGAGAGACAAGGAGATACAAATGTCGACCTAAAGTGTTGTACCCTTTAGAGGGCAACTCATTGTAGCCTATCTAACAATATATAGAATATATAAACATTTGACATTGATGTGACCTTAAATGTTGTGGAAGCAACAAACTTTGGAGCTCATAGTTGGTTGCATAAGAATTGTAAGATATTGATCTAAAGCGGTAAGCACGTCGTGGTGTACGCAGGGTGAAAAGGGAATTGCCCTGTTGTGAAAGAGGCCATCAGCGACCATTCTCACCAGTGCCCTAGATATCAGACTTTAAAGTCTGATTCAGAGTCCGTTCAGACTTTTTTTTTGTACCTAGTCTGAAGTCTAAGATTTTTTTTATGTACCTTGTCTGATTTTTCAGATGTTTTTTCTATGAGTTGTCTGAAATTTCAGCCTAATTTTCTAAGTGTAGGCTGAGCCTCAGACTTGTATCGGGGGTTCACTCTGCGAGATAATAGAAGCGAAGTTTCCTGGAAGTTTCCTTTCGATATGCCCACTTCCGAGATGGCAGTGGAGTGCCAGGACGTGAGCAACGCACACTTCAACAGCTGGGACATCCGAATACACTCGTTCGTCGAGACTGTCTTCCAGTTACGCTGAGGAAACGGTTGCGTGATTACGGTATTTTTAAGACAAAATCTCGTCACATGTAAGTTATCGCTAATGTATTGTAAAGAATAGGAGACTTTGATGCTGATTCGCTGTAAAACCATCTACAGCACGAACTCCTGTGAACTTGCGAAGGTCCTGATTCGTAGTGAAAGTTTCGTGTGGCACTACCTGATGCTCACACGCCACGCCAAGCAACAGTTTCTGCCTGCTGACAGCTCAGCTGCGTGGCACTTGGCCCACCTGATACAGATCGGGTGAACGATCGCATCGCTAAATCCAAAATTGACAAAATTGGCACACAGGCGAGAAAATGGGTACAGAACGGTAATCACACACACGACAAAACGAAATGAGATCAGCAGAAACAACCATGCGCTGCACGTGACAAAAACACCAGAACGCCGCCGCCATGAGCAGTGGCGATGCACGAGCACGTTGCCTGATGCGTTGGTAGGCTGTAATCAACTTCAATGCTATTATAACTATGCTGTTATGAAACTGAATGAACATCTTAAATTTTGAAGTAACTCTGACAGTTCAGACAAAAAAAGTTGTGCTTGTCTGAATTTTCAGACTAAAAAAAATAGGTAACTCTGACAGCCAGACTAGGAAGAGGGGTGTACTCTGAGGCGTCAGACTACCTCAAAACGAATCTAGGGGCCTGATTCTCACCATCCCCTCCCCAACATCACCTTGCATTTGAGATTGGCTTCGGTTCAATAGGGAAAACCACATTTCATTCGAGCATGTTTCAGCTAGTCAGATTGGGTGCCTTCAACCGTATATGCTCTGTCACTCATCCTGCAACCATTGCAGAAGTACCGTATGTTAGGAAGACTCCCACACTTCCCTGCGGAGACCATGAAGCACTTTGAAGGGGGCTGCATTGTGCACCCAAGGTGGGGGATTGCACTCCAATAAGGACGCTAAACAAACATCATCTCTGTTCTAACCCATGCCCGTGGCAGAAATGCTAAGTTCTAATGTATACTATCCTACTGTTATTGTCATTGGACGCTCGGAGAAACAGCACCCATTTGCCGGACGGACAAGGTGGCAATAGGATAAGAGAGAGCCGAAGGAAATGCCAGATGCGAGACCACGTTCGACCACCAGCTAGACCGACCAAGGAGTTACGAGTTCCGCAGTGCCTTCCCAAAAAAATGAGTGGCGCAGACTGATACCTTAATGCAGTCCGTTCCACTCACATCCATGCAGACAACCCTGCAGCGGTAGGAGCGATTCCTATGCAACCAGCGCTGCTTCGCGTTCATGGCTTACGCGGCGATAGCAACCTCCGAGTCAAACGACGGCACGGCAGGGGAGTC